TGGTGTTTTTCCCCTGTTGGTTGTCCAAAGGGAATCTATCACTACTGGAATTATTCTTGTCCAGGGCGCTTAAGCAAGTGGAAGTTGTGGCTTGTTTGAAGCTGGGCTGTTCAAAGGTAATCTTTACTCCTTACCTTTGGTTACGCAAGGAACTGGTCTAATTTGTAGTGGCTCCCCATGGATTTTTGGAAAATCGGATTGGCCAACACGAACCGTTTTGAACAGCCCACTGAAGTGGATCTCTGGGTTCATCATGGCTTCGTGGTTCCCAGGCATCAGATTCCTGAGTTGTTTTTTTTTTCAGCTCTTTAGTTAGTTTAGTTGTAGTTTCCACTGACCGCTCAAAGTTAGACTTTTAGCGTGGGATCTGAGGACAGCCCTGATGGAAGACCAGTGTTTTTCTTCTTTGCGGTGATCATTCCCTCATGTTTCTCGTCGTCGGAAGGAAAAACCTCGCCTCGAGGTCCTCCGACTTGAAGAAGGCCGGCAAAGACTTCAGGGGCTCCATGCTCAAGAGCTTGCCGGCACACAGGCTCTCCTCATGGCTTTTTATTTTTTGAGGGCCGGAAAAAGACATTGGCTGTGGGAAACGGCCGCATGTGGGGGACGCTGAAAATATAATGCCCTGATTCTGGTCCATGTCTAGCCAACCTTGAAATGCAGGATGCTGTTTGAGGAAATCCCAGAACGAATATGGATCATACCCATGGTAACGCCCATGCTGCTTGAAAGAACATCTGAAGCAAATATGATGCTTGTTGTTTCCCTGCGAGTTTCGCTCGCTTTGCCTTTCGTCGTAAAACCACAAATTCCCCCCAACTCAGCCAGGTCAACATCGCCCAAGTCTCTGCATCGGTAAGGTAGAGCGTGGAAGGCCGCAGGTACCCGTAGACCGTGACCCACAAATCATCGCCTTCATCCGCCTGCCCACAAGCCGGCTAGGTCGCCAAAATGCGGGAGGTGTCTTTTTCGAAGCCCTCGGTTTCGAACATTTGTGTGTTGATTTGGCCACCATCACCCGAACATCAAGTGAGTTGCAGGGTGGGCCCCTGTAGGGCGCGTGGTTTTGGATACGTATCTCTTAAGGAATCTACGATGAATGTAGAGCGCAGGCAAAACAAAAAAAGGGGCATGCTGAACATGGTTTATGCCGGCCTTACGAGCAACCTCCACGTCCTACCAATTTGCGCCATGATCTGTGACTTAGCTGCCCTCAAGTCATGGGCACTATCATTTACATAGTGACATAGGATTCATGGCCACCAAATTTGCGGGTGTTCATGTTCATTTAGAACATGCTCGCAACCCAAGTGAGCTGCACCAGCATTGCCACACACCTTCAATCGGCTAGGTCTTGTCCGCAAAGTCAACTAATCTACAAAAGGGGATGATTCATGGGGTCATTCACCCATTCCCTAAGAAATCACGAGAAACCATGAGGATAACCGCAATGGTTCAGTTCGGGGGGCATTATGGAAGCAAGTTCAGTTCGAAACACCAAGCCCCAAAACCCAGCCCACTTCGCCCGCCTGAACGCTGGACAGGGACACGCTCTCTGTGCCCAAGCCTTTCTCCACCCCCCGCTGCACCCAGGAGCCAGCTTTGTACTCCCAGAACACCAACTTGATCTTTACATCTTCCAGGATGCTCAGGATCAGGAAATTCCTCATTCTCGAAACCAACTACACATGTTAAAAACGTGGACAATGGACATTACTGAATATCTACTGAACAAGCGCTTGCTAGCAACCCTGGATGCCTTTCCTGCGCGGAACGACCTCAGAAACCCACGCGCAAGGGAGAAAGGCCAGCTAAATGCAGCCATGATTCTTGGTGCCCGTGGTGTCTTCCAAGGATTCTGAGGCTGAGGGGGCAAACAGCACCTCCAGCTTTGACAGCTCTCCTCTGAAAAATGCGGCCATGGGGATCGAGAGCAGCGATCCTTGAGTAAAGCTTTGGCCCTCCACCTGCCAGTCACTGCGCAGCTGGAACTGGAACCTGTCACAGAAGGTCGACACGTTCCTCACTTGCTACCAGGAGCTGAAAGGCGAGCCACAAAAGGAAGGGTTCCTCAAAGTAGACCAACAAGCTGGAAAACCAACAAATGGTCGAACGACAAAAGGAACGGTTCCTGAAAGTAGACCAACAAACTGGAAAACCAACAAATTGTGGATATGAATGAGGTTCATGTCATCAGGCACATCCAGCTTCTTCCACTCCCCATCATGCAGGTACACGTGCTCTGAGGTGAAAAATGTGATGGCACGCCCACGAGACTCGTGTATAATTCCGCGGTCATAGTAGCGCGAGGCGTATCCTTCGAATTGTTCATTGTTCTAGGTGTTGGCAAACAAAAACAACGTTTTTGTGACCAACAACAGTTGGAATGCGGTAAATATCCTTCGCGCGGATGTTGATCCTACTGCCATTCCTTTGTCTAAAGTGGTGATCTTTGGTGTCTGTGGCCACCATGGAGGGGTTTCGCGGTCAATACAACGAGTAAACGCACAAGGCAGTCCTACAATGTCTGATTTCTCCACCTGGTACACGATCGGCGCGTCAGCAAGAGCAGTACCGCGCTTCCACTCCCGCACTTGGGCAGGATAGCCAGAGTCAGTCATGTCGTTGGCTGCGCCAGTATCCGTCCTGAGCGCATTGGTGGTGCTCCCCAAGTCTTACACACAACCCAACCATCGATTCTCTATAGACATCTGGCATCTTCCAGTACCAACCACCTCCAATTGAAGGGACCAAGGTTCCCCACAAGCACAACGTCACGGGACTTGTAGGACACATTTGTCTTGCACTCCTTGATCGTGAATCCGCCTTCCTCCGGTGGCACAAAGGCCTTCTTGTCAACCTCATCTGTGCAAGTGCTGTACACAAATCTGCGCGCGTGCGTGAAGGCTCGTACGCACGTCAGTATTGTCGGTGCCCGATGAATGAAAAGGGTGCCAAATAGAGCAAAGTTGTGCCAGAATTGTTCCCTATAAGCATCCGGCTACACAATACTAACCAATAAGCCAACTAAGGCAGCACAACGCAATACTAAAGCAATACTAAAGCAATACTAGCCAATAAGCTAATACTAAGCCAGAACAAAAGGCAGCACAAAGCAATAAAGAGCCAATCCTAACCAACGCCAAGCCAACACGAAACTTGGGGGAAGTCAATTTGACCCCCAAATACCGGTCTTCTCTATTGGGTTCCCCTACATTGTTTGGGCCACTGCTTTTTCAGTCATTCACAATATCCAGCATTGCGCATGTGCATAGCCTGCATCTGCTCACGCACAATTAAAACACCCACACTCACACGACTATATACTCATTCCCGTTGCTTCTATACTCAGATGCCCAGCGGCCATGGGAAAAAAGGGGCATCACTTTTCTAGGTTGTGACTTTAAAGGCGAACCCTTCCCCCCAAACAAGCTGTAAAAACAATTGGCACCACTGGGAACTAGCTACATACTCATCTGCTACTAGTTTACCTCACCCGGCCGCAAACTTCCAGGGCCGATGGCTTGAGCCAAACATCCCATGCCGGGCATCAAACTGAGGACTTGCCTCCAGAATCAGTTCCTACAACCGTTCTGCATGTTGTTCATGCGGAGGAAAACTTGGGTGCGGTAGATCCCCCAGCAAAATGTTTATAACTTTTGGTAGGTTGAAAAAGGACATATAAGGAGCAACAAAAAAGCTAAAGTCTCAAGATCTATCCCGATAGCAGGAGAGAAAGGGCATCCCATCGAGCAGCTCTTCTTCGATGACGTTAAAGCTTTCAGCTGGTATGAACCAAGGAGGTCACTGACAGAACTATCCAAAAGTGGGTGCTTAGCTGACGGGGGAACGTTAAACTCCCGGATCACCTCGGCATCGCTGCCGCCGGGTGAAAGCGACAGCAGGCAAATGTCGTGCTTCTCCTCTGGGCCAAGGTTGATGAACGTCGGCCGGTGCCACACCCAGGTCTGCCCTTCTGCCTTGCCTTAGCTCTCCCAAAAAGGGGAGGGTTGTCTGGCTGGGGATGTGCCTTCCCACATTTCGAGAGAAAACAGAAGAAGCTCACACCCCCAAACAAATCCCAACCAGATCAGGAGAACGAGCTCCAGCGGCCAGATCAACGACTTGTGATCGACCAGATTGAAACTATATACCGCACTTGTGGGTTTCTCAAAATGGTCGACCCCTTTTTGGGTGATTTTAATGAGAAACCAAAAGGAAAACAATCACATGCAGGGGTCCTTAATCTTGAGAACCCAGTCTGCTTGAGCTCAATCAGTTCCACCTTGGGACACCCCAACAAATGCACAGCTCATGACAAGCAATTTCGGAGCAATGCAGCCGCAGAATGCATTTCATGAACAGGCTTCCCAGCAAGCTCTCTTTTCATCTTTTGCCCGGCTGCTCAACTCATCCAAGTCCAGCACCAGCTCCCAGTTGATGTCTGCTGCTGACTTCCTATACTCCTCCAGCGTGCAGCGCCTCCAAATCCCCTTCACATGGTTGGCGTCCTGCCAAAAGTTGTAATAGAAGTCTCCGATCTTTTCCACGTACGCGATTTTGTCCTGCAAAGCCCAAGCTTCCCATGGTTTAGCCCCGGACCAGCCAGGGAAAGGACCTTTTCGTCGTTCGGAAAAGTGCAAAAAGAACAAATAATCAACACGAAAAGCCTTTTTTCCAGGCTTACACTGCAGTCTTTGTGTCAAGCTCCAAATCATGGGTGCGCCAAGCAGCCTGAAGAACCTGGGCATCTGGGGTGCAAAGCCAATTCCTTAAACACTTGGGACGCCGACTCGTCCTTGCTTTCCAAAATGTCCAAGATGTTCCGGTACAGTTTGGTCTTGTCTGGCTGCCCGAATTTCTGAAAGGTCTTCTCATTGCGCTCTTTGGCCCACTCCAAGCACTTCTCGCCGTTCACCTCTTCCAGCCATTGATGCGGGTCCTCCGGAATGCTTAGCAGTACCACTTCCCTTGTGAGCTACCAACACAAGACCAAGGGCCGTCAAAATGTTGGCTTTGAACATTTCTAGGGTGCCAGGTGCCTTTTTCAGGAGAGGAAGCTGCAAAGGAATGCTGACAGGACATTCATCCTTGGCCCAACGCCAGCTTCCGTGTTAAGGGACTAGATGTCTCCTTTGGACCACAAGCGAGGCTTGGAACCTTTCGGCCGACGGGACGATTGAACGACGGTGAAGCCACATCTTTGGCCAAACTCTTCTATCAGCACTCTCCTCAGCCATTGGCTTTGCGCAGGATGCCTGGGCTACGTTGCGCTCGCCGCGCATTTCGGCTTGTGGGAATGGCTGTTTGGGAGAATGCTTAGGATGAAAGGGCCAACCCACCATCCTTAAATGGCAACATCAGAACACCGGCAACACTTCGTGGGTCCTGTCTCCGAACATAAGCCAGCTTTTTGTAAGTCTACTTGTTGTTTATACCAATCCTATTGTTGAATTGGGCATCGACTTCAAATTGGGACCCTTTGCTGGACATCGTTGACAGTCATTCTGGACGGCATTCTGGTATGCCCTTTGCCATGATATCAAAGCAAATTTGCCGTTCTTGTCTCGAGGGCCTCGCAGAATCTTGTCCTGGAAGCACCCACCCCCATCCAATGAACTGAATCTATCTTTGTATCCAAAAGTCAAACTTGAAGAACTGGAGCTCCGACAAGGCCTGTGCAAACGGTTGCCGACAAGGCAAGTGCAAACGGTTGCTTTGGCACGAAAAGCTCACCGCAGCAGAAATGGCATACACGCCAACCTGGCAGGCAAACCACACCAAACTAGACCAAATCTAAGGTGAGTTGTGCGTGTACATGCCCCATGCGAACGATGTTGCACATGAAGCAACCTGCGACGCTCCGAATAGCTCAAGCTTAAGGCAATAATGGAATACGTTGGTTGTCGCCTTTTTGAACCGCCCGGAAATTCACAAGGGCTCTCTGTTTTTGTTCAGGCGATTGAACATGTGACTCTGAGGTGCCAGGTCTTTCGCATTTAGGGGCACCTCCCGTAGAGCTTCCCAAATGCTGAGCTTGGCAGCTCATTTCCGCTTCCAAAACCCCGCTTTTTTGACGTTTCCTCTGACGCCCCCAAAGCGGTCGGTGGCACCCGTGCCCACCTCATAGAGCTCCAACGGCCCGATCAGCACACGGGTAGAACTTTGATAAGGGGAACTCAAGGAAACCAAACTACAGGACACCAAAAATAATCCATGAAAACCAACTGAAACCCAAATGAAAACCAAAGGAACACCATGGAAACCAAATGGAACACCAATCAAAAAGACCCCTCATGGTTTGATCTTCTTTTCACTCGGCTCGGACACCCTCCCATTTTTTGCCAGAGCCACAGCTCCGCGGCGGCGTGTTTTCCCTGCGGTGAAGCTGAGGCCCAAGAGGAAGGGCAAAGCTTTGGACGGCTGCGGCCGTGGTGCCTGACGTGCTGAAAGTCCACCCGCGAAGTCTTTGCCGAATGAAACCGGGACCCCAAGCCTTTCTGCGGTTGTTAAAGAAGGGAATGTGAAGGGACACCGCCCGTTTGCTGATTTTTGAAGGGACAAACCCAGGGAAACAGGTTGCTCCGAGTTGAACGCGTGGAAATATCAAGTGGTGTTCAGGTGTTCAGGTGTTCAACAGGCAACATCCAGCCCGTGTTTTACTCAAACACCCAAGGACACTTCGAAATCGAGTCTGTGATAGAGTCACCTCTGAGCTTGCCGGGCCTTTGTGCCATGCGGAGGGCCCAGGGCATGACAAAGACGGGCACGTATACAAAATAAAGGTATGCCTGACGCCCTGTATGACTTCTTTCTCGGTCAAAAGCCAGTATTTGGCCATATTGTTTTGGTCGTTGTGTATACTACCCGTATCAAACCTGTAGGTGTTCAACATTCTGTTGAATAGGTCTTTTGGTTTTTGATTGCATGTTTGTAATATGTAAATATACGGCCAATTCCTGGGGTTGGCCCGGACCCGCATGATAAAACCCTAAACCTTAACCCTAAAACCCTAAACCCTAACCTTAACCCTAAACAACCTTACCCTAAAACAATAAACCCGAAACCTTAATCCTGAAACCATAAACCCGAAGCCTTAACCCTAAAACCATAAGCCCGAAGCCTTAACCCTTTAACTTGAACCCTAAAACCAGGAACCCTAAACCTTAACCCTAAAGCTGAACCCCTAAAACCATAAACCCTAAATCCGAACCATAAAAATACATAACCTCAAACCTTTCTCCTAAAACCATAAACCCTGAACCTTAACGCTAAGAAACCTTGACCCTTGTATCTTGGGCTCTTTCCCCATGACGTGCGACGCTTCAATATTGCGGTTTTGGGCGGAAAGGGCGTTGCCCAGGGAATCAAAAAGGGTTCACGTAATCCACGAAGAACCCAAAGAACCCGGACTCACGACTCAGTGGACTGAAGCCGGTGACCAGGTTGAAGGACGTGATGATTGAGGAAGAGGTGGTTGAAGTGAAGGTTAAACAGCAAGTTGCAAAAGATCACCTTAACCAGGCCCAGGCAAGTCCTGCCGCAGCACCACCTACCTCCTAGCACCAGCCCACCCCAGCGCCGAGAGTCCTTTCTCGGCGACGCAGCGAGATGCCGTGCTATGGCGAGTGCCGTGCTACCAAAACTAACCTGACGGGAGGTTAAACTTGAGCCAAACGGCCATTCGGCCGCTTTGCCACATGATGAAACAACACGTGAACAAAACACACCCCCCTCATCCGATATCAGGACGAGAGAAAGGATGCGAGACAGTTGAGTTCACGACGAAAGGGACCAACCAAAATGCCGGTGTCAACTCAGAGGTGAGCCAAACGGCATCACCTGGGCCCCAGTTAAAATCCCGCCACCACCCCGAATTATCGGGGCGACAGGATTATTTGACGTGTGGACCACATGAGTGAACAAAGACATATTGGAGGAACCAGACGAAGATTCCTCTCGTGCCGTTCATGAGTCGTCATGGGACGATGCCATGCGGAGGGGGATCCTATCTGGATCACCGCGCCTCACTGCACGCCGTGGAGCGGTTGGAAGAGTAGTCGAGTTGGGAGGAAATTAGAAACGGAAGTTCCGAAATTGGTGTGAAAATAACTGGCAATGGCCGGCCCGGCACTTCTAGTGCGGTCACAGCCTCACACAGGATCGCCAGGGGAACCGTCTCCGGCGCGCACGGCAGCGGTGCGGGAGGGACACGAGCAACGCCGGATCAGCGGTACAGGGCAATGGAGATCATCACCCCCAGCAGCGCTGCACGGGCGAGAGGAGGACCGGCGCGGTCGCGTTTGTCGGCGTCACACGTACTATCCTCGCCCTTCTAAGGCGGATGCTGATTGCGGCACCCGTCTACCGGCGGATGCTGATTGCGGCACCCGTCTACCACCCTGAACCAGGCTCGTCCCGGTCCCTGGGCGCGTCGTCTCTTCGGCGTCCACCACGGTCACCTCGATCACCTCCTCCATCCCGACGGCGATCCTCACCACCACCCCTATTGTGGTCGCCAGCCGGAGGTCGGCGAGGCGGAGGGGGATCTGATTGGTGACGTCGGTCATCCCTGCGCCGGTCCCGGTGGCGATCGCGACGGTCATCGCCCGGGTCATCACGTCCGCGGCGCTCATCTCGTCCCGGGCCGCGCCTCTCGGAGGTCTCCTCATGACGTGGAGGAGGTCGGCGATCATCGCGTCGGCCTCCGCGGGTGTCCCTGCCACGATCATCCCTTTGTCGGGGCGGGCCGGGATCCTCACGTCCTCCTTTGCCAGGTCGATGTTTTCCTCGACCCTTCCCCTCACCCTTAGGACCACGACGATCCTCGCGGGCCCCAAGCGCGGTCCTTGACCGATCGTCATCTCGTCGGGGCCGCGACTCATCTGCCGCACGAGTGGTCCGAGGCACACCCGGGGGAAGCTCCCACTCGTCGTTGTCGTCATCACGCGGGTCATAGCCGCGATGGCCGCCCAAGGAACCGGTGGCATCCCGTGGTGGGGACGCAGGAGTTCCGGGACCGCCCGATCGAAGACGAACTCGGGGAGTCGCGTCCTCGCCGGTAAAAGGATCCTTCTGGGTGTAGAAACCCTTAGTCCTCCCCCTTCTCTCCCCACCTTCCACACCGCTTCTCGCGGGGACCGGGGATGGGCGGGCAGGCTGGGCCATGCTCTTAGAGCTGGGTTGCCCGCTAGGCGGGACCTGAACGCCCCCCTGCCCTTTTTCGGGCGCGGGGACCCGACCGCGAGATGTCCTTCTGGCCTTGGGGTGGTCGGACTCACCCTCCAGCTCGGACTCGGTGTCAGGGACACGAGTATTGATGGCCATGTCCTCTTCCTCAAACGGATCCCCAGTCGTAGTAACGCCTGCCGCAATGGGAGCGGGAGGAGGAGGAGGAGGAGTTGGCACAGCATCGCCAGAAATGACGCCTGCATGCGGCACCACGGGAGTCTCCGGTTCTACCGGGCCAGGCGGCGCAGGAGGAGCCGGGGGCGGTGGCGGAGGGGGAGGGATCTCCTCCTCGTCGTCGCCCATGGGCTCGTCAAGGTCGTCAGGCTTCTCGTCACCTTCGTGCGAAGAACCATCCGATCCCAGCTCATCCTCCGCTGATCCAGCAAAGTCGGGCTCGTCTTCGTCCTTCACGCCGGGGCCTGGTGTAAGGCGAATTCCGGGTCGATGGCGATCGCGGGGTCGGAAGCGATATTTCCTTGGTACAGGGTCGGATAGCTCCTGTTTGATGTCATCCTGGGTTTGAGGACGGTCGGCCAAGCAGGTGTCGTAGGCAACGGTGGACGTCCGGTAGATCAGATCGTCCATACTGCTGAGGTCGTTGAGGGTGTAGACATACCCCTTCTTAATGCCTTCCCGTATCGTGTCCATAGCCCGTTTGAGGCGCGGCAGGATCGAATCCGGCCTTTCTCCGCATGGCCTGCAATATCCCGCAGTGCTGTGCGAGCAGCCCCACCTGGAACTTGAATCCCTCCCCGGACACATCGTTGGGGAGTATCGGAGAAAGGTGTCCTGTTCTCAGCCCAATGATATGGGCCTCAAGAATGTATATAGGACGTGTAGAAACCGCACCGGTTGGCGTTGAAGTTTGCGGTGGTTAGGCGTCTGCCCCACTCAGCCGCATATCCCTCATATTCTTCGAAGAATTCGGGGACGGAGCTCCCGTTGAAGGCCAGACCCCTTACCAAGATCGCCTTTGCTACCCACTCTTCCACGTTGTTGTCGACCGTGTCACGGTATTTGCCGTCAAGGACTTCGTCTCGGAGCGAGTCGTGAAGTTTTCGGAAAATGCCATCCACGTCCTCTTTGTCAAGGTACTTAGGAGGCCGCATCCCAGACATCAACAAGGACCGGGCGTCGACGGCGGGACTCTGCGAATAGAGGGCCATTCCGATGGCGTTGGCGTCTGAGTTGTTCCACAGAGCGGGGACGAAGCCCTCGTACTTTGCCAGCCAGGGAGGAATCACCCCGTCAGTGCTCGCTATCGTGCGAGGGCCGCCGTTCGTGTCTCCGGTGGGCAGGACGCCATCGTAGAAGATGGGAAGGTAGCAGGCGGTGCACAGGTGAGCGCCGACCGGATGGGCCGTCATGCACCTATGGCATGGAACGGACACCACCTCGCGGACATGTTCCGTCTTGGTGATCTGATGGTACTTCTCCATCTCGTCCCGACACTTCCTCGGGTTATCACTCAAGGAGTTGAGGAAGTTGGGCGGATAGCACCAAGGCCTCAGGTAAATGATGGAGCAGTCCTCCTTGAAGTAGACGCATCTCCAGTACCCGATCGCGATGGTCTCGCGCGACGCAAAGGTACCCTGACGAGTAATATGCATGCCCCCATTTTCCATGGAGAAGAAACGTGCATCGATAGCCATGACCACATATCGGGGATCGCTCCTTTGGCGTCGACCCGAGGTGTGCAGCTCCGTCACGTTGCTGTCGGTGATGCGGTCGTCAGTGTCGTTGGGGCACTCTCCGTGATCGCGGAGGGATTGATACTCATCCGGCCGAGAGGGAAGGAGCTCGATCAGAGCTCGCCCACCCCGAATGATCGCCCCACGTTCTACGTAGAGCCGATACATTCGGAGAGGCACCACCTTGTAGAGCGTCTTAGGAACCACCTTGGAGGTGATAGGAAGACAAACAGGGCTCTCGTAGAGCATGTATTGGTATCGTTCACGAAATGCCCGGTAATCAGTGTCAGATCCGATTTCAAGCGACCTTACCGCCGCTATGCGGGCGGAACCAGGCAGCAACCGACGCTCCTTGTCACGAATGACGGTGATGATGATCTCGAACATTCCCACCCCATCCTCGAGAAAGGAAGACAGGAGGTATGAAGAAAAGGCATCCTCGGACTCGACGCTGGTCCCGAAGTAGTGGCTCAGGAACCTCTTCAGTTGTATCACCGAAGTAACGTTCCCTTGCCCGCTGGCAGACGAGGCCTCCAACTCTGGGTCCTTGACTGCACCTGCATTTCCAGGCTGCACAGCTGTTCCACGGAGCGCGTCGCGTATTTCCGCGCATGCTCTCCTGTAGTAGTGCGAAGAGGCGCCCGTTCTACCCTTCACCTTCTGACGGATCTCGTCGGCGAAGTAGTCCAGAAGCTCCTCGGGTGCGGGAACAATGGCCTGGATCATCAGGTCAGGATCACTCTTGGTCGGGAGGATAGGCCCTGCCCTGGATCTCACTCCCATCTCCAGGAATCGGGCAATGTCCCCGATTTTGGCGCACAGAGTAGCGATCG